GCTCCGCCAGGGAGCCATTTTGCAACACTGTCCTGGTTTCAGCTGGGATAGAGTTAATTGTCCTCCTAGTAGCTGGTACAGTGCTGTGGTTTGGAATTATGGTGAGTTATAGTTGTTGCTGAGCAGTGCTTACCCTAAGTCAAGGACTTCTCAGCTTCTCGTGCCCTGCCAGCAAGGAGGCCGGGGGCACAAGAAACTGGGAGGGGACACAGCCAGGAAAGCCGATCCAAACTGGCCAAAGGTATATTCCATACCATATCGCATCATGCTCAGCATATAAACTGGGAAACAGCTGGCCGGGGACCTCTGCTCGGGAGCTGGCTGAGCATCAGTCAGCAAGTGGTGAGCAATTGCATTGTGCATCTCTTGTATATTCTAATTCTATTATTACTATATCATCATCATTATTATTATTATTCTTTCCTTTTCTGTCCTATTAAACTGGTTTTGTCTCAACCCATGATTTTTACTTTTTTTCCCCCAATTCTTTTCAAGGAAGTGATAAAACCCACAGATAAATAATTTCACAGTGCAGTGTCTGATCTCTGACTGTTAGGGAAAAAATAGTGTCATTTAAAAGTCAAAAGCACCACAGATGGCAAGTGGTAGGAAATTAAGAACCTACCTTGGCTGTGTCTCTGTTGGCTTCAGGAAGCAGCATGATCAACAGATGCAAAGCTTGTAGCTGTAACTTGATCTTGGAGATTTCTAAGAATATGAATAATTAATATTTTTTAAATCCCTGTTGCAATAGGCTTGTTCAAAAAACTGTGTTGGTCAGCAGTTCTGGAAGCACAGCAAACGCTGCCTCGTTGAGACCAGCATGTTTAGGTCCATTTTCCAAATATAAAATCAATTCGATGAATGGGTTTTCCCTCACCATTTTGGGTCTTTATCATGGGAGGTGACAAGGCTCTATGCTGGCAAGGAGCCAACAGTTTTCAGTACTAGGCAGTTTCTCTTTGGTATGATGGTCGGAATGTATTGTGAATATGGGTCAAGTATTTTCCCCCTTTCAAACTAAAATGGAAACTTGTTTTCAGAAATTATTCAGACTAATGTTATTGAGTAATTTGCTGAATGCTTGTACCACTGGAGTGGAGATTGACTCCTTACAACTTAAAAGTATTTGTCCCAAGTCTAGCATGCTAGATAAATATAGAGCCCCATGTTGGTTATAAAATACCATCATGTTTTCACCATTAGTATATATAGATATTTTGCAATGCGTAGTAGAAGAGCTGGGGTGGAGAAGAAGGGAAGAATAACTCTGTTGTTTGCTTCCACTCAGAGTGGCTGAGAGAGGTTTGGACAAAAAAAGAGTGTGAGATGTGGACAGTGTATCTGTGGTAGGGAGTAAAGTTACTTGATTCTGTTCAGACACCTCTTGTTCAGTCTTCTCCTCCAAACTGCTAAGTGATGGTGACTGCATGCAGCCTGGGACTCACAAGGAGCACGCTCAGGTATGTGAAGGTTACAGGAAGGGGTTACCTCCTTGGGCACTTTTAAACTATCTCATGGAGACACTGAAAACTTGGCTACAACCAGGTCCTTAGTTTTCTGTACCGATTTGTGTAATAAATTCACCATCCTTACAGTTTTACTCTGCCCTAGCTCAAGTCAATTTACAAGGAAGACAATAGGTATGGCAAGGTACTACTGCATTCTTCCTGGAGGGGAAATGAACAAAATGTACTGAGAATGAGAGGGTGTATGTACACTGAAAACAAAACGCAACTGCCTGACGTTTTCTGTGATCACACATATCTTTGTACCAATATTCTGACCTCAGTACAAACCTTCAGAGGAAGAAAATAGATCCAATAGAATATCAGCTAAAGGGCAGTGACTTGACTTTACCTTGCAGAAATTTTCATTTGTGAAATCTGTAATTTGTGAGAATCAGAGTCTAAACATGAAAGCCATTGCTTTGAGCCATTGTTTGCTCAGAGGTTTCCAGTCTTCCATTAAACAGTTATGTCATTCACATGAGCCTATGCTATTAGCTGAGTGCAGAGACGATTTCCCATTTGAAAAGGAAAACTTGCAGAAAATTTAAATGTTTAGGCAATGTACTATCTACTTCAGAGAAAGAAAAAAGCCCATGTTTTTTCTCTCTATTTGAGAGAGAGAAAAAAATATAATGTCTACTATTACATTTTATCTAGAGAGTCCATACTAACTCCATTTCCACATACTTTCCACTAGTGTGATGAAAGCAGGCAAATATTCTACTGTGAAAAGCGGGCTTGGGAGTTCTCTTATAAACATTTTCAGCAGTCCTGCTGCATCATTATTTCGTACTTGGTCCCAGTCAAAAGTGTCTTCATAAAATTTTGCCTCGAGTTCTTGATGGAGATTCTGAAAGATAAAAGGAACATCTGACCTTTAATCATTGCTTCTGACCTGGCAGTTTGAGGTCACTTCAGAAATCCCATTACAAACAACAAGCAAGTTTACACTGCAATTCAATTAAAGTAGCCCTAAACCACTATGGTCTAGGTACAGCTGCATGGAGTTCCGAGCAGGTTAACAAATCAGGTTCCTGGGGATATTTTGCAACCCAGGCTAAATTTGGTTTTCTATAGCTGGATTTCTGCCAGTAACCCATTTGAACCATTTTAAAGCAAGACAATTTTGTGCTATATCTTAGGTGGAGAAAGAGAACATTCAGTTAAATGGGATTTTTAGCACAGCTGTTCTTTTGGTTTAAAACACTTTCCCGATGTTTTGACCCCTAAATCACAAAGGAGTGGCATTTCTTGTTCAGTCCCAGTGAGTTTGCTAGATAGTCTGCTGGTGTCTGAGTACGTGGGTTCTGAACAAATGGCTTTAACTCCAGGTCATCCTGTCTATAGAAGGATGTTTTCTTTCAGGTTAGCTATAATTAGATTTGATCACATCATAGAAAAATAAAAGTATCAAACCATTACTCTCAGAAAACTTCCACTTAATACATACCAACACACCAAAACCACAAGAGAACAAGAGAACTAGGATAATTGATTATACCACTTTGGGTGCCCATTTCAACCTCTTGTTCTCCAATGTCAGCATCTTGCTCTATAACAGAGGTCTATTTAGTTCTGGAGGGTAGCTAATCAGTGTTTCATACACATGTGTGAATTGGAAAAAGTACTCAGTGAGGTTCCTAGTAGGAACAGAATTTAGCTTCAAACTCAGATCACTGCTTGGAGAATGCAAGCTCCTCAAAAATTCGTTGGGTTAGTAAGCTTGAAAGATGAAATTGTAATATAAGCTTTCATAGTTATTACTGACCAAACACTGCCTTATCCATAGGAAGTTTGTTACTGCTATAGGTAATATTCAGGTTTCAGATCATGTTTTTGTCAAATGTACCTTAATATTATGCAAAAAAATATAGCCCTTTCAGACAGAAAAGCTTTTAAAAATGAATTCCATTTACCATGTCTCACATGAATGGAAGGAAATTACATATGAAATATGGTCACACATAATTAAGTGGAATGGTTGGCACAAAAGGAAATAGAAAGTCATTCAGGATTTGGTGTATAATGTTACAATCTCCTTTTTGCTAGCACATTTTACTTGTAATCTGGGCTAGTTCAGCTTCCTCTATATTCACAGCCTTTGCACATAATCTATACAAATACTCGGATTAAATTCTCTCCCGTTAACTAACTGGAAAATGTGGAATAGAAATCCTGCCCTCATCAAAAACACAAGAGGACAGAAAAACTACTCTGCATTTTTCTGCTGAGAACTGGGGAAAAGCCATAGGAATAGAAAGCAAGATATTTGAAACATAAGCATTTTATATAATATATATATCCACACGGGCAAGCATATATGTACATTTTATACTCTCCCCCTCCCCAATATATATGTATATATGTACCTAAGTACTTTTTAAAAAAACATTTTTCAATTTATTTTTTTCTAAACGCGACTGATCCTACAGTAGACTATTATACATTTTTGGTTAGCTGGAGCTGTTGTTAAAAACTAGATTACAGAGGAAAACTTGTATTTATTTCTTCTATTCTTTGTTTTATAGAAGAGTAGACTTTAATCACTTCCATATGACTTTTCTTTCTCCAAGCAAGACTGAAATAAAATTGGAGTGCTCTCAAATCCTAATGTCATAATAATGTATGAGGGCTTTGAAGAATGAAATCTGGATCTGCTTTGAAAAAACCCTCTCTCTTGCTTGTTGGCTTGTTGGACAGACTTAAGTGAAGCCAAGACTCAAATAATTTAAAGCTTTCATATGGGCACTTTAACTTACCACCCAGCATACATATAAAGTCGTATCTCATAGCAGCTCCCTGGGTATAGGCTGTGAATAAGAAGTGAACAAGACACAGTGCAGTATATGCAAGGAATATGAAAGTAATTTAATTAGAGCACAGCCCTGCTGTGTAATCTCCCCAGAGAGGCTGGAAAAAGTTGTGATTGTGTGAAATAATGCTTTAAGTATTCGTAGGAAAAAATGAGGAAGCTGAAAAGTACAGACCAAATTAGAAGCTCCCTGCAGCAAGATGTAGCACTTAACAAGGTGCTGGGTGCTTTCCTCAGTCCAAAGAGTCAAAGGGAGCTGGGAGCTACTGCCTATCCTCCGTGTGTTTCATGTACAGTCATTTTGAGGATTCCAAGCCCATCAACATTTAGCAATCCCTGATATCTTTGTGGCTGCCACAATGCAGAGACTTCCTGCCTCGGAAAGCAAGACTTACTTTCCTGAGGATGAGAAAGTGGCAGTTGGCTGCACTATAAGAAGCTTGTTTTCCTAATTTGCCTCTGTCAAGGGCTTCCAGCTCCTGCAATCAAGTTAGTCTGGAGAAACAATTGCAAGCATTACTGCACCACAATGTCAAGTTATTGGGTACCAACTATCCTGTGTTCATAGCCTGCAAATAGCCTGTGAAAATGCAGTACTTGAGGCTGCCAGAAAGTGAAGCAGGCCAAGTTTCTTTCACTTGGAACATGAAATTGTAAGATCACAGAAGATAAATGAGAAATAAAATGGCATAAAGGTTAAACTGACATAGAATAAGATCTTTATCTTAAGTTTACTCAGTTTAGTAACTCTGGATTTCTGAAATAAATTAAAACAGAGATAAGATCATAGCAATTTTGGATGATAGAGATAAACTGAAAGGATCCCTCTATGTTTACTGCAGCAAAACTGCATTCAATGTCAAGTCTGTGCTTTATATAGACCATTAACAAATGCAAAGCAACAGACCACATGTTCTGTGATTTATTGTTTCCCAGGAACCAATACGACCTTTGACTGGTAGAAATAGAAATGCTGAGCTACACAAATCAGTATTTATGTGCAGTGTGAGTTTGTGTGTGCTGTATTGTTTTACATAGTCTTTGGTCCAGGAGACAGAAAACTGGCACGAGCATGTACCTTGACTCTGGAGGCAGATCCAGGCACTCGTAGAATTCCTTCAGTTTCTAAACCTGTTTCCTCAAGCTTGAGCAGCAACTAGAAAACAACCAACAACCAGGAAAATACTCAGCAGCAGTTAAAAATGCTACTTTTCAATCTAGGTATCCTTGAAACTATTTTGAAAAAGATCTATTTCTATATAATTTGCTAATGAAAACAAGCCAGCTCATGTAAATAAACCCTCCTAATTGGTTCTTCATATTCCTGACCCTGAAATACAGAGTATGCAGAGTATGGAAAACCCATAATGCAACAGGACCCTCAGTCCTTGATTTGAGATTTGGCACTGCTACAGAACAATTAACACATAAATGTATTAATAAAAGGGCAGAAACACTGAGTAAAACACAATGGTGTTTTGAGGGAAAATTAACCTCTGAGAAATGTTTAAGTCTTTCCCCAAGGAGCACAATGGAAAGGTCTATAGATAACATACATTTCTGGGAACTGAGAACTCAGATTAGAAAATGATCCCAGGATATTTTACTTTTAAATTTCTGTGAATAGTGGAATAGGCTTTCCACTCTAATTCCTTACTAAAAAAAATAAATATGCTTTGATTTAATGTAATTTAGAACAAGGAAAAAAAGAAAAAAGTCATTTCCTAGCATTTATTCATACAGCTCTGTATTTTCACCACCAGATCTGCTTCGTGCCATAGCTGTTGGATCTTTCTAATTTCCCAAGGTATCTTGACAGGACAGCTGATTGCAAAGTCATGTAAATATTCAGGTCATGTCAGTCTTTCCCCTGACACTCCACACCGCTTGCTCTTTGGTCAGTATTTACAGGGAAATCTGTTGTCATTTCAAGACCATATGAACCTGTGTAATTGCATGTGTGCTTGTGTCTGTGTACCTTCAAGACAGCCACTGGATGTCATTGTTCTGTCAAATGACTTACATAAATGATGTTGTCTTGTAATACAAATCACTTTCATTCTGGAAATAATAGCTAAGCAATACCTACAGCTTAAGTTCATGTGAAATTATAACTCCTGAGACAATTCACCTTTGCTAGTTCTGCACACACACACAATTTTGCGTGGCGCTCTAATTTAATGAGAAAGAGAAACAGAAAGCCAGATATTTGTTTCCCAAAGTTTCCTGTATGGTATCATGAAATAACAGAAATTGAAAAGGGTCCCCACCACAGATGAAACACAGAAAAGGAGCAAGTTTTGTCTCCTTGACACCAGGTTTTCAATCCACAACACAGACAACCTGCAGACACGAAGTCTGTAAAGCCTGCATCGTCTTTTATCTGATGACTCTCTTAACTGTCAATGCAAATGATGGAAAAACAAATCTTAGTAGCAGAGCAGGTTGAGTTATACTCACTTTTTGGAAGATGAGGGGAACTTTTATTCCAGGAACCTTCTTTTGATCATTCTCCAGCAGTACGGTGAGAGGGACTCCAAACAGACCATTTTCTTAAAAATAACAACAACAAAGGTGAAAAAGAGGAAACACAGCCTTGTACACATCTTGTTTGCAATGCTGAGTGGCACCCAGGTGGCCACCATGGGGATGCCACAGCACGATACCTCGTCCCCGCACCCTCTCTGCGCGGTTCCTCTTCAGCTCCACCCCCAGCGCATCATAGAAAGCAGTTAGCTCGATCAGGGAGAGGTAGCGAATCTTCTTCATGTCTTCGGGAGAGAGGTCTCCAACCTCTGTCAGTCCAAACCGGCTTTTCATTACAATGAATTTCTGCAGTAGAGATGGGTTGCATCTTTATTTGCCCAAAAATTACAGGAAGTGATTTTTTCTTTTGAGAGAGATGCCAGTATGCGAAAGAGCTGAACTACAATACAGTATATTGGCCCAGTATGTTGACATAACTTGCATCCGTCTGAAACATAAAATTGAGCTTCTTGCTCATCATGTTCCCTTGCAGTTTGACTGGTAAGTGGTGCTGGAGCAGTAGTATTAACCTCATTGCCTGTACTCCAGCTGGGACAAATGAGCTATGTGCTGCTTAAACTTTGCCCAGTTTCAGCAGTATGTAACGTTTTGCTCTGTTTCTGCCTCCCCCGCAGTGTCTTTGAATGTTGTTGAAGTAGCTGACACATTTCATTATGGATATGGTTGTATATCAATTGTGTGTGTGTGTAATGAATCCGTGTCTGCTTTGCATATTACTATTAATTTATGAGGTATTATAGGAGAGTTCAAACTAAAGATCTGAGGAAAAGCCCAGAAGCAAAATCACTTAGTCCTGATGCCAACCTGCCATTTACTGGCAGGTTTTATTACTCAAGAAACATTTAGGCTTAGAAACAGGACTCCCAGCAGCTAAGAAATACTTTATTCAAGTAGGCTTGAATTAAATGATACTTAGTAATCTGGGGGCATGTGAAGATGTCTACATGTTTTAGAAACTGCAGTATTGTGGACGAGACCCAGGAATGTTGAGTCATGACAGAAGCATTTGTACAAATGTCAAAAAGAACAAATACCCGTCAGTTTTTGACATAATTATTAGACATAATAACAAAGTTGTATTAAACCCCAATGCTTTTCAGAGAACTGTGGATCTTTAGTATTGTATGTTTTTTCAATTTAATTGCAATTTAAACCAGTAATTGATAGAGGTATAAATAAATAACATTACAAATCACCTCCTCCCTTTAGGGAACTGAGTGGAAACACAGCCTTTAATAATGTTTTGCTTTGGGAGATTTCAGCCCAGTCCTCTCTTTTTTTAAACAAATTTGGACTCAATAGGTCATCTTTAGAGGAAGCCAGTCAAACAGATTAAGAAAAAAGCAAATGAAGAAAGGATTAAACTTACAACAGATTTCAAAAGTAAGAGAGGACAAAGGACATCTAGATCATGGAGGTTAGGACTTCCTAAATCACATTGTACATGGTCTTTCAATAGAGATTAATCATAACTAGGGGAGAAAGACTGTGGGGGATGGAATAACTAATTTGCATGCTGTCTGGGGCATTTTAGAGTAGAATCTTCCCTCCCCAGAATGCAGCAATTCCACTGCGACTTTTAGACTGAGATTTAATAATGTAACAAAAACTACATGGAGGATGCTCTTCTGAAGACATACAGAATACTAAAGAGTATCTATGCATTTTAGTTCCAGTGATGCAAAAAAGCAGTCAAAGCACAATAAATAACCTTGAAAATAAGAAAAAACCACATATATTTTCTGAGGTGAAAGAGAAAAGGTATGTCTGCCAAGAAAAAATGACAAACAGTCCAAACCCATTACAAAGCATGACTATAACAATTTTCCGTGGTGGCTGGTTGACTCCTAGGATCACAATAATGTGACGCAGTGTTAACACAAGGTTTAGGGCTGGGCCACTTTCTTCTGTCTTGTGTCACAATTTTCCAGTGATTTTTCTTACAAACAGTGGAGTCACAACATGCAGCAGTGAAGGAGGACAAGATATTCTGAAATTAGATTACTAACATTTTGGCTAAGGATCATGTCTAATACTGTGTGATATGTGGTTTCTATATGGAATGTAGAATGGAATAGAACTCTGTGGAATTCTACACATTGTCCCTAGATGGGCCTGAAATGCTTACTGACTCTTAGTTCTCTAATATCTTCATTTAAGTCACGTTGATCATAGTCCCGTATTGGGGAAATTACACGAAACCCTATGAGGACAGTAATGTTGAGTTTGGTCTTCTGGGAGCTGCAGGAGACACTCTATTTTATGCTATATATGACCTATTTCTGTGCATCTCAGTATACGCCATCCATGAAGCTGATTATATCACTGTGTCAGACTTGCCCCAGAGAAAGTATCATGTTGTGTAAACTTCAGTCTGGCCTCATTGGCCCACCTCAAGGAAGGAGAGACAGTCCTTCAGCATGTAGGTGACTGGTGTTCTGTGTAACAAGACGTGATTTATTTTTCTGGGGCCTGTTACTGTCAGAGCCATATGGTAAAAAACTAATGTGAAGTAGGATAAATGCCAATGTCAACAGCTACAATTCTTGACTTTATTCAGAAACTGTCTGTCTGTGATGACCTGGCATATTTCTCATATACTCTTCCGAGCACACAAAATGATGTTCTGCATGCAAAATAGTTCATTTACGGCACAATACCGTCCTTTTCTAATATTAATTATGCATCTCACAGGTCCATGATAATCAATGCAGCATCTTCTTTTCCCTGTTTGTCATGAGTTTCCCTGCTATATCAACTGGAAATTGTCCAAGCTGTTGCAAAGAACAGTCTGTGTGCATGTGCTGTAGTGAAGGCCGAGGTCCTAGGTTTGCTATTACATGGAGCAAGGAGGAACCTTTGTTTTGCCAAAATCATGATGAATGCAGCTGTCTTACTCTCCACAGGACACCAAATTATCCCCACCACAAAAAACCCAGACACACTAAAGCACAGGGATTTCACACCAGTTGTAATCTACTTGGTGTCTTATCCCTACTTTCAACACAGGAGCTTACTTCTGCATCTCAGGTTATTCTCCTTGGTGGTGCCTGAGATGGACAAATGGATACTTTTTAGAGAACTAAACGTCTGTGTGCATAGTAACAATTTCAGATTAGTTCAGGACCTCAGGACATCATAATGTTCAGGAAATGCTTCCAAATAATTTACAGCTATTTCATAAATTTCACTGAAGTGATGGTATCTGAAGCACAAACCTAATGTTCCAGTTTTCAGTAATGGAAGCTGTGAGGGCTGATGGAGATAGAAAACTGACTTCCTTGGCTTCATGAAATAATTCCAGATAATGACACAACTGCTCAATGTATGTCTGGTTGGATGACATGATATGGTATGGTGTGATAAACTTTCCTTTAACCACTTATGTAGCATCTCCTATAGCATAATTGCACTGAATACTGATTGCAGACAATCAGGACTGCTTCAGGGCTAAGGCTTGCTTTCCTCCTTTCATCTATGAAGCAATTCTAAATCCATGTGTTAACAAAGGCAGATAATCTGGGGGAATAAACTAGGAATACAGGCCAGTAATGAAAATGATTGCTAGTTTTAATGCCTGTAACTGGTCTTTATTTCTTTGTGAAAAATGTGTGGATAATGCAGTATTTGTGGGCTGAGCTACACATATTCATCTGTGATGGACTCAAGTCAAAACCAAGCTTGGATATCCAGAGTAACTTTGGTGCTTCTCTGGGAATCAGTCAGAAGCGGTAGGCAGGCAGAGCAAGCAGTCTCTATAAAGCACACAGAGCAAAGGACAGATAATGTCTTAATAAACTCCAACGTGCTGGGGATATAAACCAGGAAATTACTGTGTTAAAGAAAACAATTGAGGAAATATGTTGAGAACAAACTTACAGGCAAAGCAGAGTCTTCCTTTTTGAACCTCTGGTTTTTCGGCCATTCTTGGGTTTTTGGGAGGACTGTAATGGATTCTGAGAAAGAAACCTCATAGGAGAGCTCCTCTGTTACGGGTGGGCTGCCTTTATCTAGTCCACAGTCTAGACAGCTATTAGCTGAAAATAAGGGAAGTTGTATGTGAATGCTGAATGTATGCTTGCATTTAGTACAGAGACATTAAAAAGTGAACCAAGGTGACAAAAATATTGAGAAAGTAATAAAGGAAGTGCTTCAAAGAGGAATTTGAGTGTAAACCACAGCATGTTCCTGTTTTGTCTGGAGGAAATAACCCCTTAGAAATAAAATCCCTATTTTAATTTTAGATTATTTAACTTGTTGCTTTTCGTGAGAAAGATAGTCAAGCTGGAACTTCCTGTTTATCAGGAATTACCAAGTTTTTGTACTCCAACCTCGTATACCCAGGCCAGCAAACTGTGGTGGCACTTGTCTAATGAACAATTAAAAATAAGAGTTCCTGACAGAAAAATGCTGTTGACATGGTTTCTTAGGTTACTGTTGACTTATGTACAATTGTGAGACATTGTGCATATATGTTACATGCTCACGTATGTATATTTCTCACACTTGCTAGTTTAGGTTTGTAGCACCAAAACAGGATGCAATGTACAAACTTCCAGTTTGAAAAACACTTTACTACTGGAATTTCTGGCAGATATTGCAAAATAACTTACTGCTTTACTCTCTTTTAGTCGCCTCCTGAAATTAGTGGATTCCAGAGGAAAATTTTTGAAACCAGTAAAATCAAGCACAGAAATACCCTATTGTCATGAAGTCCAAAGTATGACAACACATGTGAGTTCCAGTGTTGCCAACTTTTATGACTGATCTCCTACATCTTGGGACAATTTTTAGGTTTTCCTTAAAGTCCAGGCACTAGACACACATAATCGGAGTCATATCATAATTTTCACTGGAAGTGAAGCAAAATTTCAGCCCCCAGGACTGCAGAGAAGAGTTTACTAACATGACCCAGGTGCGTTCAAAAGCCATGGCAATCAGAAAGTGATTTTTTTTTTGTAAACATATGCATGCCCCGTGATTTTTGAATCCTTGTATTTACAGATACAGGGACTTAAACTTCTGCAATACTGTTTTGCCATTTTGGTATGAAAAAGCTCTGTTTTACTAAGTGGCTCCTGGCTTCTAAACTGTAGCCTTAGATGTTACCTAATGGCCAAGCCATTTAAGATGTTTCCCATCTCTCTTTCCACCCGTGGCCCTGGGATCGCAGACAGTCCATGGCACCCCTGGCCATCTGGTTCCCCAGCTGTTCTATTACAACTTTTTGAGGTGCAGGGCAGCTTTTGCAACCAAGAAAAATGTCTGTGGCAACACAGGTAAGCATCTAAGGATCTGGTTTAGAAACTCAGAGGGGTTAGAACTAGATGATATTAAGGTCCTTTCCAACCCAAACCATTCTATGATTCTATTAATTAATATCCATTTAGTTAAGCTCTGAACAATGGTGATGGGAAGAGCTTTCAAAACAAAAGCCTTCCACATTCCCATGGAAGGCTGCTGACAGTTATACAGACACTGAGCAGAGCAGAGTTATCATTTTCATTGGCACTGCCAGCCACTGTCAGAGTAAAGTGTTTAAGGGATGTCCAAAGTAACAACATTAGTAGATCAGAATAATAAGGCAGAAGCAGAAAAAATATAAATTTCTAATACTACAGTTTCTGCAGTACTGGAGAAGAAATGTGAAGAAAATATGCACCTTTCTTGTCAGGATTTGCAACAAGAGAATACACTGCCCTCATATTTTGGACAAATTCTGCACCATATTTTTAGAGGTTATTTTTACATTCCCAGCCTTGCAATGATCAGTACTTTTTGGACACTGATGCCTCAAGGACAGCAGTCTGTGTCTGTACAACACCGCTGTGAATGGGAGACTTTGGTTCCTGCATGACAATAAGCTGACAACGATTTTAAGGAGATAGATGCAGCAACATAAAAGAGGGGACTAACCTCTGAACCACAAAAGGATCTTTCTGTCTATCATTTTGCTAGGAGGAAGTGAACACTGGTTACATGTTGGCATACTCACAGCTAACTGATTTCCAAACTGGCTTCTGCCCAGGAAGCTGGATACCATTAGAAGGAACTGGTGACACTGGAACTGTCTCAAATGTGGGCTGATAGGCAAGGAAAAATGATCAGACTGCAGTGAAGGTAAACGTCTATGGACAGAAACTGCTACAGTTCAAGCAATCATTCTCAGCTTACACTCCTTTGCCAAGTTTAAACAACCTGTTGTGATTCTCCAGAGTACATTTTTCACAGCCAAGCCTGAGAATTAATCTTCCCCAGGCTGCATAGATTTAGATTATGTTGAGGTCAGTAATATTGCAGCTCACTGTAGCTAATGAGTCCTGTCCTATATAATGACTGAAATTAGCCAAGTAAATTGCTGTACATAGTTGTACTAAGTGAAAGGTCCTTGTCAAATTGTAATCTATCCTGCTTTTAATCATTTTGGCAACAAATCTTTTTGAGGACTGTCTGACACATGTTGTATATCCGCTGCTTCCAAGCACCTGTCAGAAATCAAGCTGATTGCCACCTTTCAGGATTTGGGCACCAACAAATTGTTGGATGGATGTCCTTCCATAGGTTATATACTAACGCTTCATCAGTGAACTGCAAAAACAGCTTTAGGAAAAAAAACCCTGACCTTTTCTATAGTCCAGTTAGTTTCTTTTGACTCCAGAAATCATTCTGCACTGTGTGAAAATGGGGGAAGCGTGCGTGGCACAGCAGAAAAGGGGCTCAGAAGCCCGGGGAGTGACTTTCAAGCACTGTCACCTCTTCTTGGCAGCAGAGTTATGCCCTCATTCTGTATGGTTTTGAGACTCGCAAAGACAAATCTGAGTCTTTATGTGTACCCAGGGAAGTAGCAGCTCATCTGCTTTTTCTTGAGTGAAAAAAAAAACAACAAAGCCAGGAATTTAAAAAAATGCTTGAAGGTTTCTCAGTGAAAATAACTATGTCCCAAACCAGTCTTGTATTTTCTCTTTTGTCCTCTGCAGACCGGTGGGAGCCCTTGGAGCCCCCTCTTTGTGAAATCTGCTGCCTCACCTCCCCCCGCCCCAAGCCTGATGGAGCTGCTCCAGCTTTCCAGATGAACCTGGCCCCATGATCCCCCAATAGCTGCTCTTTAAATTGCTCTTTAAATTGTTAAATTGGCTGTTTATCAACAAGCAGCAATGCCTTAGGGCAGAAATTTTGTCTTCCCCATTTGTAGCCAATGCACAGGAGCAGCATTCAGGCTGCTAAAAAATGTCAAATATTCAAAAGACAGGCAGCTCTTCCAATTGGAAGCCTGAAACAATGTTGCAGTTGGTTTATTCAGTCTTGTCCTCTGAGCTATTTGGGTAACAAAGTCAAATGCAACATGAATAAAATCTCTCCTGAAAGTCCATTCGATGGCCCACAAACTTGATAGCAAACAGGATTGGAGTCACATGGACTTCCTTTGCCAGAAGACTGTAAGGACTATTGATTTTTCTAAAAGGAGAACTGTAGGATGCTTTTGTGATAAAATCCCATAACATTTACACAAAAGGTTTTAGGACATAAAAAAAGCATCATAAATTTCAGGTGGGAGTATGAAAGTGGAGGGGATGGTTAAACTTGCCTCAGCAATTTGGGAAAATCAAACATAGAAGTAGTTACTCTGCTGCTTAAGATCCAGATGGAGAAATTAATGGTAAACATTAGCAACTGGCTCATGTACTTTCACTGCTCAAAATGCCTGACCCTGGGAACAGTATTCAGAATAGATTTGCAGTGAGTCAAGTTTATTAAGGAAGAAATTCTTCCAGCCTTGTTATACAGATGAAATCAATAGTGAAGCAGCTGCAGTAACCAGGTTTTGTTAAGCATGGTGGAGCTGGCAGAGGGGAGCTGACAGCTCAACTCTGCTTCACCACCCAGCAGTGCTTGCAACAGCCTGCAGCCTGCTTTAGCTTGTGGCAATTGAATTACGTGAACAGTATACAGTATCAGGGGTAGCTATTCTTGGTCTCATTTCTCAGCCTCCACAGTGAGAATGTATAAAGAAGCCAAATATATGTCTCTTTTGTGAAAATCTCTTCCAAACAGGACCCCATCCTCCTCCCCATTTTTTTTTCTTTTCTTTTTAGATCTCAGGATAATATGATAAAAAAAGAGGGAAGACTGCAAATAAAACCATTTTAATGCATGAATTTTAAAGATCCAGATTATTTCTTCCATAAAAAAGAAGATTAAAAAACTTGGAAGCTTGTGTCTTAGTGAATGTGAAAGACCAAGAGTCATATTGTGTCTTTAACTAAATTGGGACAGCTTTATTCATTTGGCTGGGGCTTCATCAAAGGCAAAACTCCACATATCCTGATTTCTGACTGAAAGTGATTCGTTAGACAGTTCTTATAACGTAATACTAAAAGTGATCCCAGTCTTTACTAGCACAATATACACAGGAATTTCCAATGGGAAGAAGAAACAAGAAGAGCAAGGTAAAGATGGAAATTAGGTAGACAGTTCTTTAGTAGCTACCCTCATTGTAGAGGGTGTGAAACAAGATCATTGGAGCACCTAAGCAATCAAATTCTATCATCAGTCCTGCAGCTAAGTAAAATAAAGACAGAGAAGGATAGCCTCATGGCTCTGGTCAGGATACACGTTCCTCATGCTTTGGATATTTTCATATTTCCAAGCACTGTCATCACAAATGCCTATTCATGCAAATAACTCTTCAGTTAGTTAGTGATTCTTCTTTAATTAGGACATGATTTCCTCATGCATTGTTCAAGTAAAGTGCTCCTACAACTCTTGCAGAGTTTTAGCTGATTACAATGTACAGGGTTGGGTTGTTAATGAGCACAATGCTTCATTTCCTCCCTCCAATAACAAAATCAATGTTTCACCCCCCATTTATATTCTGCTGTTGATTTTTCTAGGCTTTGAGCACTAGCAAAGCCAATAGCTTCTGATGGAAGCAGCAGGGTACGAGCAGTAAGGAAAATCAGGCCACAGTGATTAATAAACCACCCAATTTAAATTTCCATGGCTAGCTGTTGAGCCTGCCGTGTGTAGGTCTATCTGAAGCAGACCAGAGGCATCTCCGCTAGGGCAGGCTGCTCCACCGAGGCATCACTCTTGGAGAGGCGAGGTGCTGTAGGTGCTGCATTCTGCCCCCAGGGACCACAGCACCTTTCCAGGATGGGCAACAGCAAAAAAAAAAACCACTCAAAATCACACACACACACACAAAAAAGAAAGAAAAAAAAAAAGAAGGTGAAATATGGCTTAATTTCCTTTCATTTCAGTCCACTTGGGCTGTTGAGGGAACACTCCTGCTCTGAGTGTATGAACTTCAAAGGAGGGAAAAGCAGCTTTTGCTCTATGTTGACCCACACAGAGACAGTAATAGCAAAACATCTAGTAGGTAGGTGTTTTTCAGAACAGAGAGAAGAAAGTAGGGCAAATCTCTCATCCTCCCCCTCACTGGATGACAACTATTCTTCTTCAGTGTTCCCTAAATCTCAATTCAGGCGACCCTAGTGAGCTAATCACCTTTTCTCTCATCATTAGCCACAGAAGAGAGTAAACCATCCTGTGATCCATCCCTCTACACTCCTGCAATGCTTAGGCTGTTGGGAAGAAGGTGTAAATCCATCCTCTAATGGGGAGGATTATAGAGTTACGTGAAACAATTAGAGCTGGTTTGCTATTTGCAACACATTTCCTTCCCTTCCCAACTAAAAAGCAGGATGGGAAAGCAAAACTCCTGCACATCATTTCAAGCAGGCTTTTTTACCAGGGTCTCTACAGCAGCTGTGCTGAAAAGATGTGCCCCTCCCTGTTCCCTGTTGCTCTTCTTTTTTGGCTGGGATGTTTTTAATGTGAATTGCTTTCCCAAAGTGATTCACCAACAGCTGTAGTGCCATGCCCAAAGAGGCAGCAGAGCATGAGGGACTGCTTCAGCTGATACCCCCTTACAAAGGACTGCTTGGGAAACCCTCAGGTCAGGGCACAAGCCCCCTAGTAGTGTGTTTGTCCCTGAGGAGCTGATAATTAGGACAAAGTTTCTAAATCCCATAATAAGCAGCAGAGATAAGAGCAATAGTCAGTGGGAATGCCAAAAGGGTGCTGGGAACCTTGCAGGCTTTTAGAAATACAAACTTTTTCACAGCCCATTGGAGGGAGGTGATGGTGTGCTCTGCAGCTGTGTTTGTGTATCTGTGTTTAACGTTTAGGTAAGCACCCTGCAGAACTGCATATTTTTGTGGGAAAAAGAATTAGAAGCCTTAATTACTTATGTGGTCTTATCTTTCAGGCTTTCAGAGTGCAGAACCAGTAAGTAAACTGAATTTCAGAGGAGGTAAAACACTGATTTGAAGGGTGATGGCTTTGAGACTCCTGATTCCTTCAGCAAGTAAGAAACAAGAGGTGAAAAATAAGCAGGTGAAAACCAGATTAATAATGTGCCCATCTGAGAGAACTGGTACAACAATTATTTGGCTGACTGAAATTTATTAGGAAGCTTAAGCCTTATTGTAATTATTAAAAGTTTTAAACACAGTAAGGTTTACAGATACTTGAATCAGGAGAAGTGTTCTAATCTAATAAGAAGTGCCATCAGCTTCTTAAGGTTCATGCAAACATGCCTGATGATTTCTCATGCAAGAAAGTCTGCCCCCAAGAAGCTACTGGATGCTTCTAGATACATTTGTGGGATATGTGCAAGACATTCAAAAAAGCCCAGATATGCAAATTGGAGACACTAAGTTACCTCCTCAACCGTTATATCTTTGCAATTTTAATATAAACATGCAGCTACAATTTTGTTTCCCAATTTTTGTTTTAAATTCAACTAGGATGCCAAGCCTTGAGGGGAAGGTAGGACAAATAAAAAAGGACAAAGCAATTTCATAGTGAAAAAGTTTCTTGGAGTTTTGCAATGGCAAGAATTTTAGTGCTAGTTTCAAAGGTGAGCTTATTGGTGACTCCCGTTTAAGGTATCATGAGTGGCATATGTAAGGTCATGCGTGTTGCTTTTGTACATTGGACTAAAGTCACACAGTTGACTGCATTCACAAAAATCAAAA